CAATTTTCTTAATTTTGCTATAACTCCTAAAAAAGATTTATTAATAAATTCTTTTAATATATCTTGTTTATTTTCTGGTCCCAATCCATGTAATGCTTTTAGAATAGTTTGAGCAGCAAGATTATTATATGTGCAAGACATTGTATACATTAATTTTCAGAACTAAATATTCAGTAATTAATATAAATTCTTTTTACCTCACAAAAAAATATTACTCTCTTAATCATATCATATATGAAATTTCACCTGTTTTTTATATCAGAAATTAATTGAAGTTCCTTTATATTAACAGCTTTGCATTGTTGATAAAATCATTCATGTTGTAATGGAGAGGCTTTAATTTTAACTACCAATTTTCTTAATTTTGCTATAACTCCTAAAAAAGATTTATTAATAAATTCTTTTAATATATCTTGTTTATTTTCTGATCCCAATCCATGTAATGCTTTTAGAATAGTTTGAGCAGCAAGATTAATTATATGTGCAAGGCATTGTATACATTAATTTTCAGAACTAAATACAATTCCTTCATCAGCACAATAAACATTCAAATAATTAAACATTGTATCTATATTAGATGCATTGTCAATAGTAACTCCTAATATCTAATATATATATTAATAAATAAATATATTTAAATAATCAAAAAATAATATAACAAAAATAAACTAACCTTATTCAAAATTTTATATTCTTTTATTGTATTAAAAAAAACTCTTGCAAGATTTTCACCTGAATATGTTTCTTCTAATGGTTGAAAATCAAGAATTGTATTTTTTAATTTTCAATTTGAAGAAATCTAATGAGCACTTATTCCAAGAAAAGGTATTTGATTTTTTGAAGTCCTTGAATCTAAAGTAAAAGAAATACAACAGGAAATTTCATATAATCCTTTTTTAATTCTTTTTTTTTCATTTTCAAAAGATTTGGAAATGTTATTTCGAACAGTATTACTAAAAAGTAATGTAACATTTAGATTAAGTCTTTTTATTATGATTTTAAATGATTTTTTGTTAACAGTAAAAGATTGATCATCAGCTATAATCCAGTTTATTAAATCTTCTGTCCAATTTTTTTGAATAAATATCTATTATTTATTTAAAATTAATATTAAAAAATAAATTTTGAAGAATTAACCTCTTTTAATCTCAAAAACTACTTTCTAAACTTGATTTTTGTTACTAATCAAACATATTTATCACATTTATTAATATCTCTGTTTAAATTTTCATGTAAATTGAACAAATATTTGCATATAAATTAATGATTTAATCTATTTTTAAAAAATGTCAATTTCTTCACGAATATTTGTTCAATCTGCATGAAAATTTAAATAGAAATTTTACTAAATGTAATAAATATATTTAATTAGTAACAGAAGTAGAGTTTAGAAAGTTGTTCTTGAGATCGAATAATAATTTTATATATTTAATAATTTATACATGCCAATGTTTTTTTTGATTTAATAAATTTGTCCAATGGTTCAGATGTAGATACTTCTTGATTCAAATGTTTATGTTCACAAGTAATATGGTTTCTTAATGTAGAAGTTGAACTATCTTTAGCAGCTTTATAACTTTTGCTAAAATAAAAGAGTAAAAAGCATAAATATTCAATATTTTATATAATTATATAATAAACATATATCTTTTTTTTAATACACACGTGCAATGATTACAATAGTATTTATTTTCCTCTTGATTTAAAGTAAAAAATTGATATATAGAAGCTTTTTTTTTATTATTGTTATTATTACTATTATCACTATTATTATTAATTACTGTTAAATTGCTACTGCTTGTTTCTGTTAAATTACTGTTACTGGTTTTTCTTGATATATTTGGAACTGATGGTTCACTATTTTCTACATTTTCTTGTGAATTTCCTAATTCAGTATCACTTATAATCTCGGCCATTATAATTATATAAAAAAATAATCAAGTCAAAAAAATCTAGATTGTTATAAAAATAGATGGTGAAACCATGACATGATGATCAAAATTAATATATAAATCAAAATTTTCAGTTTCAGTTTCAGTTTTTCGGTTTAGTTTCTATGAATAAACTGAAACCGAACTGAACCCGAACTGAAATATTCAGTTTGTAAATTTAACAAACTAAAACTAAACCAAATCAAAACTGACAAATTGGTTTCAATTTAAATCAAACCGATTGAGAGCTTTAATCAAAATTTAAATAATTATTATTACATATAACAATATCTAATGGCTTTTCTTTACAATAGGTTGATAATGAAACTACTTGTGAATTTTTGTATTTTTAAATCCTAATCTTAAATTACCTAATAGATATTCATTATCTAATCAAATTTTACTAACAGAAATATCAAATTTAATTAAATCACAAAATGAAAAATTACATAATAATAAAATTGATGTAATATTAACATTTGATAGATGGAAGAATATATTAAAACAACATATATTTGATTGTTTATTTATAACTTCTTACAGTGAAATATTAATTTAAAAATTATCAGATATTAGTTTTAAATGTGAACGTATTACTGATATTATTTCAAAAGTAAAAGAATTGATTAAAGAAAGTCAAGAAATAGAAGTTACTTTAAATACAATTGTATTTGATAGTGTACCTGCTTATGCTAGATTACAGTATATAATTTTAATTTATTATTATTATTATAAATAGACATTAATTTATTAGACATCATTATTACCATAAGTTTTCTCTATTTTAAATATTTTCTTAATATTTTATTTTATTTCTTATTTATATTTATTTTATAATTATTTAGTATATTTTAGTATATTTTAATTATTAGCTATAATTAGTATTTATTTATTTATTAGCATAATATAAAATATATAACTCAATAATATAGATCATAATGGTTTAGTTACTAGTCAATTTACTAATCAATTTAGTGACCAACTAATTGATCAACTTAGTAGTCAACTGATTGACACAATTATTAACCAAGATTCTGACATACTTACTGATTAATTTACTAACTAAATTAAATATTATAAAAAGGGTGAGTTTTTTCTCTACCTCAAGAAAGAGAGAGATAGTTCTCGAATTAGATTTGAATAATTCTAAATAGTAAAATTTAGAAAATAATCTCAACTATAATTAATTCTATAATTGAATTAATATTTTTATAATCCTAAAGTAACTGGATTATTGATTTTCTTCATAATAAACTCATATCTTTTATATTAAAATCCTGTTATTCTCTATTAATTTATATTCTTTGAATATAAATTCTAATTAATAAATTTCTGTTATTATTTTATAAACTATTGATAAACATATTTAATTTCTTACTTAATTTCTTAAATCAACCTTTAAAATTTAACTGTTAATCAATAATTTAAATCCCATGATCATAAATTCTTAAGTCTTTCAATTAATTTTAATATTTAACTTAGAATATTTCTTTTATTTTTCTTCTATTATCTTTTTCAATTTGTAAATTAAAGTAACTGTTTATGAGTTACTAGTTGTAAATTGTTTTTTGAAAAATAAAATTAGTTCAAAAGGTTGACTAATAACAATTTGATTCCTTCTAATAGAAACAAATCAAAATTTTTTATAATTGTCCCATCCCTTATTTTAATAATTCCTAATATAGTATTTTATAATTTATTTCTTTTAGTTAGTTACTTTTTTAATGTAAAGGTCTTAATTAGGTAGTTATAATTTTAAATAATTATTTTTTTACCTTTTTTGTATTAGTAATTTATTTCTATAATTTACACTGATCAAATTAAAGAGTTTAATAAAACTATCGAAGAAATAGTTGAACTTTATTGACAAAAGGTAAAAGTTATAGTCAATCAAATACCTGAAATTAAAGATCCTGTGTGAAAATTAGATGACCTTGAAGAATTATATAAAATCAAAGAATAATTGAACTTATTTTTCCAAATTTGAGATAATTATTATAAGATCTTGGATGACTTAAATCTTTTAAAAGATATTTTCTGTTTATTAAATTAATCTTTCTAATAAATAATCTACAGTTTTGAGTTACCAACCACCAACTGAATCTCTTATCACACACATTACCAAAAAATTACAACAGATACATTTGAATACTCCTGTTGATTTTTCACAAACTGTTTATACTCCACAACTATTTTCCATAGTGATGTCATCTCAAAATTCTCTGCGTTATTCCTTGAAGATAAAAAGATCCAGTCTAATAATCCTTTAACTACTTCTATAATTAGTTTATCTGTAAATCCTATTTTATTTGAAAAAACAAGAAAAACTACCATTCTTAAGTCACCAGTATGAATATCACAAAATATTAAGCAAAAACAAAAATTAAGTACTCCTAATTAAAATATAATTGAAAGTTCCTCACTTATAGTTAACACCCATTCACCACTATTTTTAGTCTTTATAAAGTTATTGGAGGAAGAGAAAGATTTTGAAATTACTATTACTAGCCTTTTCACCTCAAGTACATTTGAACTACTTGCAAAGTTAACCTTACTATACACTTTCCTTTGTATTTTCTTTCTAGTCAATTAAGTACAGTTCCAATACAAGTAGATCCTAATATTTGGACAACTAATTTAACACAACAGATCAAAGAAGGAGATTATTTTGGATCTCCTAAACCAAAAACAACTATGTCAGACAGTACATATTCATTAAATAAATTATCTTCATATTCTAGAGACCAAGTGTATCCAAGGAAACAATAAATACTATCAACTAAATCTAGTAGTTCCAGAATTTTAGTTGGAACTTTCAAACAGAAACAGAAACAGAAACAAAAAGAAAAACTTATTAAATATTCTTCTACTATTAATTATTTTGATAATATCGATAATAACAGTAATAGTAATGACAGTAATGAAAGTAGCAACGATATGATATCAAATATACAAATTTTAAATTATCTCCAACACAATGTAAAAGGTACTACTATTCAAATAGAATCTTTTTATGGTGATAGTTTACAAGATCCATTGAAATAGTTAGAAGACTTTAAAAAAGCTTCTCAAATAAATGAATAGGATGAAGATCAAAAAATTATTATATTAAAAATACACATGAGAGATGATGCTGAAGAATGGTGCAATACTGAAATAGAAGTGCTTACTTGGAAAAAATTGGAAACAAGTTTTTGTATATTCTTCTGTGATTTCTGATGGATTAATAATAGTTTCGTGAATTAGAAGAATTACACCAGTTAAAAGATGAAACCATCAATACTTATTATGTTATATATCGATGACTTGTTTAAAAAATTGACAAAACTGAAGAAATATCTGAAGCCAACAAATTAATATATTTTGTAAAAGGGTTAAGACCTGAATTAGCTCCTTTGATAATGATGAATGATGTAGCAAATGTAGTTGTTGCAGTTACTCTAATTAGAAAATATGAAACTGGTGAAGATGTGGTTAAAAGAAGGGAATCTTGCAAATTACAAAAAGAACCTGATTCAGAGTCAGAACAAGAAATCCAACCTCAACAAAAAGAAAATAAGAAAAAGAAAACTACAGACAAAGGGAATCTAGATGACTTAGTACAAAAATTTGAAAAGCTACAAATTAATTTGGCACAAAAAATTAATTGGTTAACTAATCAAGTAAACTCTAGGGAATTTTCTCCTTGTAATCAAAACTATAATAACTGAAATAATCATTTTAATAATGATCAAAATTATAACCCACAACCAAATAATCTATCAACTACTTGTTTTAATTGTGGTAGGGAAGAACATATCACTTGATGTTGTCAATAACCTAGCTGCAGTAATCAAAATAACAATAACGAAAATAATTATAATAATAATAGATGTAACCAGAATACTGAATGCATTTATCAAAATAATCCTGTCAAATATATTGAAGTAACTGAAGATGAACTTAGTAGTGATAAGAAAGAATTATTGAGTCAGCTCTTGAAAGCTTATTTAGAAAAATATGAATGTGATGATAATAGTTCAAAAGAGGAAACAAAAAAGCTTCAAACTGGTAATTACTTTAAGGATAATAAAAAGAAAAATTTAAATGAAAAGAAAAGATCTGTCAAGAAAGAGAAAAAAGAACATCAGGAAATTTTTCAGGCATAAATTTCCGTAATAAAAACGGGACCCACGGAAATTTACGCTCAAAAATTCAATTTTTTTGACTTTGGTCGCAATTT